GTATAAGAAGAGTCTCAGAAGGAAAGGAAAGGATGGAAGAGAAGCAATATTTGAATAGTGGCTCACAATTTCCCAAACTGAAGAAAGACATCAAACTCAAGAATTATTATCCAAACAGGATAATTACAAAAAAGCCAAACATCTCTGCCTCATGGCCCTTACATTCTGGAAGGAGACAGAGAATAAATAAGGAACCAGTATAAAATATCAGTAAAGGAAAATAGAATTTATAAGGTAAAAAGTTCAGAAGTATGGAGGGAAATATCTGCACTACTAAATTGAATGTACGAAACCTTGACAGAAGTAAACAGAAAAACAATTTTGACTAAACACAGATTAAACAAGAAAAATAAGCCATATTGACAGAAGCTAAAAAAAAGGTCTACATAAGGATATAAGAAAAAGACAAAGGATGCACAATGAATAATAAGCTATACAAATAGCAGAAATTCCACAAGAATTTCTTAAGCACCTACAATTATCAGACTCCATACTGGATGCTACCAACAGAATGAATGCGATATGTTCACTTTATTCAAGAAGCTTATCAAATGGAAGAGCAATGAGGTATCAGTTTAAGTATGAGAAGAATTACAGAAAGTAGTATCCAAGTGTTACAATATTTCATATATTCAAGTACCAGAACATAATCTTCCCTATAGAAAGAAAAGAAATTATAGAGCAGTACTACCCAGCAGAACTTTCTGCAATGATGGAAACAGCCCACGTCTGTTATGTCAATAAGGTAGCCATTAGCCACATGTAGCTATTGAGTACTTAAAATGTGGCTGCTGCAAGTAAGGAGCAGAACTGTTAATCTGATTTATTTCTAATTAACTTAAATATATGTAGCGAGTAGCTACTTAATGGACAGCGGAGGCATACAGTATGACAATGAATCTCACTGGCTCTACGCTTTAACAGGGGACTCTGGATACATCACAAAGACAGACCACGTAGAGACACACGGTGATGGTAACTAAAGGACTGGAAACTAAAACCTCCAGGAAAAGGCCAAAAATAGCATTTTTAATGTATCTATATCTTACTTTATTCCAGAAAGAATTTAACATGACTTGCAAAGACCCACAGCACAGCAAGAAAAATCACTGGTTAAATAAATGCTAAAAATGCAAATATGTACACTAAACAAAAGGTATAAAACAAATTTAAAATAGGTAAGAAAAACAATTACCTTGCACAGAGAATAGCTGAGCAGTATCCTAATACTGATATTTTATGACAATAATTTTTTATGGATTTTAGTGATTAAGACACTATTCAAGAAGTGGGTTATAGAATACGGATTTAATCCAGAGCACAAAGAATTTAGATTGGTATATTAATGATCTAGTGCTGTAAAAAAAATTACTCCAAAACTAAGCAGTTTAAAACAATAACATCTATGGTCTCACACAGATCTGAGGGTCAAGAATCTGAGAGTGGCTGAGTGAGGTAGTTCTGGCTCAGGGTCTCTCAGGAGGTTGCACGCATGGCTGAAGGCTTGCCTGGGACTGAGGACCCACTTCCAAGATTGCTCATCCCATGGCTATCAGCAGGAGGCCTCAATTTCTCACACAGAGATCTCTCTCCACGGATGCTTGAGCATCCTCATGACCTGGAAGCTGGCTTTGTCAGAGTGATCCAAGAGAGAGAACAAAGAGGAAGCTGCAATGCCTTTTAGGACCTAGTCTCAGAAGTCACATACCATCACTTCCACCATATTCTGTTGTTGAAAAGCAAGTCACTAAGTTCAGCCCACACTCAAGGGGAGAGGATTAACCTCCTCCTCTTGAAAGATACAGTATCAAAGACTTTGTCACCATATCTAAATTCACTGTAATGGGATATGAGAATTTTCTCATACTTGAGGGTTGCTAAAAATTGTAATGAGATCCTGGGACCACTTTCCCTGGAAATCCCAAACTTAAAATAAATTATCACCTTTGTGAAATAGCTTCAATTGCCTTCTATAAGGCAGGAGATTAAACACAATTGGGTTCTCAGTCACTTACAGCCCAGTTACTTTTTAATAGCAGGTGCTAAATAAATGGCATCTACTATGCATAAAACACTGTGTATCTCTAATACATATTATTAGAGATCCTCACAATAATCCTGCAAAGTGGGCAATATCATCCCAATTTTCAAGATGAGAAATAAGTCCAGAGAGATAAGCCAAGATCTTGTCCAGGTCTACCTGGTTTCCAAGTCACAGTTCTTCCCACTACATGACACTTCTATTACTCCAGCCACCACAAACAAAAGTTTGTTTTGCAGCATCAAAATCTGGTAAGGATCACAAAATATATTATTTCAGGTAAGATTCTTACTTTTTGTCCCATCAATTACTTTCGTGCTTTCCTCAGTCTGTTTTTGCTTTTTCTGGGGTTTTCTATTTGCTACTCTGAGGCCTCATTTTGCTCCACTTTATGTTCCATTCAGCTCCTGGCACCTTGGTCCATCTTCCCTCTGGGTCCACCTACATTGGAGGGATCCTTTCAGAGCAGATGGATTCTGGTCCAAACTCCATGACACCCCTCTGAGGGGCAACTAGTGATGTGTCCAAATGAAAAAACAATGCAGTGGCAGGAACAGAACCAGAAGCCTGTCCTTACAAACCCTCATGAAGAGCTCTCTGCACCACCACACGACTATCCGCCTCCCCATCCCAAGACCTGAACCTCAGGTCTCCTTTTCTGGTCTCCAAACTCTGCCTGGAACAAAGACACTGCTGCAGAAAAAGCCAAATATGAGAAACATCTCCATTTCCTCACTCTTCCCCAACAATCCAATCCATGCAGTCCTGTCCATTCAACCTTGTAAATATTTTTCAACGTTTATCCTATCCACCTCCATAAACAATGTCCTAATTCTGGTACTTTTCTCTTTCACTTGGGCTTCTGTATCAGTGTCTTTTTTGTGTGTGTGCGGAAGATTGGCCCTGAGCTAACATCTGTTGCCAATCTTCTTCTTTTTGCTTGAGGAAGACTGTTGTTGAGCTCACATCTATGCCAATCTTCCTCTATTTTATGCGGGATGCCGCCACAGTGCGGCCTGACAAGCAGCGCTAGGTCAGCACACGGGATCCGAACCTGGGAATTTGGGCTGCTGAAGCGGAGTGTGTGAACTTAACCACTAGGCCACCAGGCCAGCCCTGTATCAGCTTCTTAAAAAGTCCCCTGCCTCTAGCTTCACCTTCTCTAATTTATCCCCTACAATGTCAGCCAGAGAGATCTTTCCAATAGGCAGATCTTATCATGTCATTCCCTTGAAAAAACCTTCTAACGGTTCCCCATTAACTCCCCTCACAACAGACTGAGTCAAGAAAGGCCTTGTAAACTGGCTCAGGGTCCTGGATTTTATCCTACAGCTTCTAAAAAGTGATCTCATGTTTGAATGTCTCCTCTGTACCAGACACCTCACCCATGTTATTTCATTTAATCCTCTCAGGGACCCTGCAAAGTCAGCATACGGTCCCTTTGCATCCACTGTTCTAATTAGGTCTCTCATCTGTAAGCCATGCAGCCAAAGTAACCTGAAGCCTTTCCTGGCCCACCAATCGATCCACCAGATCAGCAAGCTCTCCCTGTGCCACCACCTCTTCTTGTCTACACCTCCATGACAATTTGTTTACACAGCAATTTCCCTAACATGCTTGAAAAAAGGGATGACGTCACATTCACCTTTACACATTCAGCCCCTAGCAAAGAACGTGCTCCAGAGTAACTGCTCAACAAACGATTGATGACTGATTATCGACTTAATGGAGGGTCCATCATGTTACAGATACACTGCAGCATTCATTCAACCAACATATCTCCCAAAAAGCCCAGGGAGCAGTGCCCTGTAGAAGAGCTTAGACCAAAGTGTCTGGTTTAAAGACAAGAGGACCTCTAGGGATGAGCCGGACCAAATCTAGCTGTCCCTTTCTTCAATGCACCCTCTCCTCTTTGTACATACCCCATGATTGTAGAATTAGCTGCCGGTTCCCCAGAACAGGACCTCCCAGGAAAGGACTTTTCATTTTTCAACTTCATCACCTAGCACAAAACGTGGCACGGGGGGGACCATCAAGAAATGTATTAAATGATGACAATGTCAGCTACCATTTATTTAGCACTATGTGTCAAGTATGTCCTAAATATTTAACGTGCATTGTGTCATTTAACCCTTCTAACAACCCCACCAAGGAGGTACTGTTCCAACACTATTCCCATGAAATAGCTGAGAAGACGAGGCCCAGAGAAAACTAGAATGAAATCAAACAAGCACTGACTGAGAGAGTCACAGTTTATATTCTCACACGCTTTATTTTATTTGTTCCTCTGTACAATCCAACAATGAAGTTGTGTACTACGTTCCCGTTTCAGGCAAGAAATGTAAGGCTTGGAGGAAGTGCCCAATAAGGCACAGCTCGTAGGGCCAGGAACCAAAGCCGGCTCTGTCGGCTGGTGGGCACCGTCTCGCCCGGCCGCCCTGCCGCTCGAGGGCAGGGCGCGGAGCGGGGCTGCCCCTCTGGCCCGGGGCTCTTGCACCCAACAGGAGGCGCGGCCCCGGGAACCGGACTGCCCGGCCCGGCCCAGCCCGGCGGACAGGCCGGCGGGGGGTGGGGCCGGCCCAGCCCAGCCCCGCCGCTCGGCGGCTGGTCCTCAGGCGCCCTGCACCCTGCTCCTCCGGCACGTGTCTCCGCGCTGGACCAGCTGCGCCGGGGCTCCGGGGCCTCGGCGGTCTGTCCCCGCCACGGCCTCCCACAGCCCCTGCACGTACAGGCCGCCCTCGCGCCTGCTCAGTGCACAGAAGGGGGTCCCCGGCGGCCAAGGGCCTCGACCCCACGCCTGTCCCGGCCCCAGGCCGCCGCAGGAGGACGCGGGCCCAGGACCCGCGGGGAGGCCCCTCGGCCGACCGCAGAGGCCTCCACCCCGAGCCCTCCCGGGAGGAGGCGGCGCCCTCGCCCGCCCGCCCGCCGGTCGCCCCCGAGCGCGCGCCGCGGGCGTTACCGATTCCGCTGCTCTTTGAAGAGCGCCGTGAGCGCGCGGAGGGCCTCCAGGTCCTGGATGGGCGCGGGCACCATGACGCCGGACAGCCGGGCGGGCGGCGGCCTGGGCGCCGCCATCTTGCCGCTCGCGGCTCTCGCCGAGCTGGGCAACGGCGAGGAGGAGGAGGAGGAGCGGGAGGAAGGAGAGCGGCAGGAGCGGGAGCAGGACGAGGAGCAGCGCGCCCCGCACCCTCCGGACGAGGCCGCCGCCTCTGCGCCGCTGCAACCAGCGGCCGGGGCGGGGGAGCGCGGGACAGGCGCCCAGGCTCGCCGCGGGCGGGGGAGAGGACGCAGCGGCGAGGGGAGGGGGCGCGGGCGGAAGTCCCGCCTGCGGGGAGGGGGCGCGGGCGGAAGTGCTGGGTGAGGGGAGAGGGACGCCGGGAGGTGATGGGGCTGAGAGAAGGAGTGGGGGACAAAGACTCACCCTGAGGGGACAGGGGCACGGGGACAGGCTCACCCTGAGGGGGAGGGACGAGAGGGACAGGCTCACCCCCTGAGGGCGAGGGGGGAGGGGACAGGCTCACCCTGAGGGGAAACGGGCACGGGGACAGGCTCACCCTGAGGGGGAGGGGGCACGGGGACAGGCTCACCCTGAGGGGGAGGGGGCACGGGGACAGGCTCACCCTGAGGGGGAGATTCGAGCAGGGGCAGCCCTGAAGGGATGGGGAATGGGGACAGGTTCACCCTGAGGGCGAGTGGGAGGGGACAGGCTCATCCTGGGAGGGAGGGGGCAGGGGACAGGCTCACCTGAGGGGGAGGGGGCAGGGGACAGGCTCACACCCTGAAGGGGAGGGAGAGGGGACAGGCTCACCCTGAAGGGGAGGGAGGGGGCACAGGCTCACCCTGAAGGGGAGGGAGAGGGGACAGGCTCACCCTGAAGGGGAGGGAGGGGGCACAGGCTCACCCTGAAGGGGAGGGAGAGGGGACAGGCTCACCCTGAAGGGGAGGGAGGGGGCACAGGCTCACCCTGAAGGGGAGGGAGAAGGGACAGGCTCACCCTGACGGGGAGATACACGCAGGGCCCAGACCTGAGGGCAGCAGGTGAGGGGCCGGGAAGGGAGCTAGCGACAGGAGAAGGCGAAGACCTGCGTCCTGTTTCTGCAGTGGGTTGATCAGTGCCCCGCCCCCCGGGAACTGGAGCTGTCTGTCACTAGCCTGCACGTCTCAGACCCTGAAAGCTCCATTCCCAGTCCTTAGTGATCCTCTCCTGGTGATGCCAGGTCCGTTACCGGGCACCTTCCTGGGGTGACAGTACGCTGCTCCAGCCCCTCCAGGGTTTCAGACACAGTCAGAAGTCAAGAAGCAGCGAAATTCTGCAGCAGTAGGGGGAGAATTGTTTTTTTCTAAGGGAAATGAATATAGTTTTCAGGACGTAGACAAGGGTCTTTGGCTGGCGTTGGTAACTCGCGTGGTTCGTTCCCCGGCCCTCTCCCTTGTCTGTGTACTTTCCTTCAGGAAGCAGCGTTGCCAAGCCCTGTGCTGGGGAGCTGATCCCGACCCTGAAGGAGCCCAGACCACGGAGAGAGAGAAGTAGCCACGAACGGAACTGAAGACAGTTCATAACGCTGTGATAGAGGACGACGGACACCTTGCTGTGGGGCCACTTAAAATGTGTAAATACATACCCTCTGCATTTCCATTTGAAGAGTAGGAGTGTATTAATAATGTGGAGCATTTGATGTTATTTGCTAAATGAAATTTAAAAACACCAAAAGTACCACCAGAGGATGCAGAAGAAATGAGTCATACCCAAGCAAGGGACCTGCTATTGTAATTCAGCCGTACCCATTCATTCATTTCACAAGTATTGCTGTGTGCCTACTATGTGCCAGGCGTTAGGCAGTTCAAAATAATTAGCAATTCTTTTCACTATCCCAGCAAAATCTCCCAATTTTTGCCTGAGAAGCAGGGGATAGTAAAGTGTTATGGTCATGCATCCTGATCTTGCCCCTTAGTTTTCTGTCTTCAATTATAAAACAAACGTAACTACTCTGATTCTTCCAGAAATCATTCCCCATGATATTCAGATTTATTGCCTGGAATATTGCAATATCCTGATTGGTTTCTTTTTTTCTCTCGCCTCCCAACTTTCTAGATTCTTTAAAAACATCAGTCAACATTTCACTTTGCTCAAAACCCTGTAAAGGATTTCCGTTTCACTCAGTGAGAGCCAAAGTTCTTCCAATGGAAAAGTCCCTACACGGTCTGGCTTCCTCCTCCTCCTGTTATGGAACCGAAGTGAGTTCTCTCCTGGTGAGTTAAATCACACTCTCCACCAGGGGCAGCTGTCTCACAGAGTAAAGTAAAGTATATATGCGGCAAATAGGAGGCCACGCGGAATCATTTCCAGAGTCATGGCGTCCCCGAACAAAGGAAAGCAGGGACATTTATTTTGGACAGGGAATGAATATTCAAAAGGGAGAAGTGGGTATTGGCTTGCGCAGACTCAGCTGGAAAACATGCTTCCACACACACTGCAGGTGATGGCAATAAGGCCTAAGTTCCTCCTAGAGAGATCTTAGCGTTAAAAGTAAGGCAGAGGTCATAGGTGTAGCTCTTTGGTTAGGCTTGGTCTGGTTCAGGGAGGTTGGTGATTGCATCTCCTTAACATAACAAAAGGAAAAAGAACAATCTGGAACAACAGTTAAAATATCCAAACCCACCCTTGAGTTTCCTGGGGTAGCTAGTTGGTGACACTGCCCGCCTTCTGATAACATCTAGTCTCTTCCTCCTCCATGGTGCTTCAGCCTCACTGGCCTCCTTGTTGTCCTCCACCAGGAGAAGTACCCTCCTGCCTTGGGACTTTGCACATGCTGTTCCTTTTGCATAAAACACCTTCAACACTCTCCCAGCAGATACTTACATGGTTTGCTTCCTTACTTCCTTCAACTCTCTGCTCAAGTGAGCTCTCATTTCCCTTATCAATCTCTAAAATTGTAACACATCCCCCAAATTCCTGATCCTCTGGAATTTTTATCCATAGCAGTTAACACCTTCTATATCATAGTTTACTTACCTGTTTTGCTTATTGTTATTTATCTATTTCGTTTACTGCCAGAATGTGTTCCAGCAGCTAGAAAGGGACCTACTATGTGGTAATTGCTCAATAAACATTAGTTGAATTAATGAACAGAATATTTTTTAAAGATATTTTCAGAAAAGAGAAAGGAAATAACATGCCTCTAGAAGAAGTACAACAATCCAGGAAGTACAAGAAAGAGGAAGGATGGAAGAAAGGAAGACAAAAATTGTAAGGAAGAAGATTAAAAGAGAGAGAGAGACGTTAACAGGACAAACTAGAAATATAGGCAAGTATCAGGAAAAAAAAGGATATTAAATTGACCAAACAGTGGGTGTTATTGACTGCCCGGAATCAACTAGAGGATTTCAACCTTGACTGGGTTGACAGAACTAAGTTAATATTTCACTTGTGCTAAATAGCATTTCTTACTGTTATATAATTGTTTGCCTTAGATGAACATGCCACCATGTTGATATACGTGAATTAAACTTCAGGTGAAATTTGTGTTTTGAGCCCACTGTGGAAGAACTGGATCAGCAATGATTCAGTAATCAAGAAGTAAAAATAAATAGAGGCTGGCCAGGTGGCATAGTGGTTAGGTTTGCATGTTCTGCTTCAGCAGCACAGGGTTCACAGATTTGGATCCTGGGTGCGGACCTATGCACCACTCATCAAGGCATGCTGAGACAGTGTCCCACGTACAAAATAGAGGAAGATTGGCATAGAGGTTAGCTCAGCGACAATCTTCCTCACACAAAAAGAGGAAGAGTGGCAACAGATGTTAGCTCAGGGCCAATCTTCCTCACCAAAAAAAAAAGAAGTAAAAATAAAAAGACAGGACAGAAGGAAGGGGGAAAAAGGAAAGGAAGAGAGAAAGTAAGTGAGGTGCAAAGTAAAAGGATTTGGACTAAAGTATGATTTTGGCAAGGAAAAGAGGAAGTAAGTGAATGCTGGAAAAGAGAATGGAAGATGAGTGACGATAGATAGAAAAATTCTTGCTTTACTGGCCCAGCTATCTGAAACTTTTGCCTTACCATCTCTGCCTATGATTCTCTCACTAGAAAGCTCATGCCATTGCCACCTACTCCACCAAAAGATCATGTGTCAATCAGGTAAAGCTCTAGTCAGTCAATACCTCTCTTTTGGCACTGACTTTCCAAAATCAGCCTGTACTATAGATGTACAAAGATGTATAGATGTACAAAGTCCCTCAGGGCAGGGACTTTGTCTTCCTCTTCTCATTCAGGTCCAAGGTCAGTGCCATGTGCTTAGAAGCAATGCTATAAATATTTGTTGAACTGAAAACTTTGGAGATTGAAGGAAAAAAATAACAGAATAGTGTAATTGTTAAGAGCAGGGATCAGCAAACTACAGCCTGCAAGTCAAATCTTTCCCACTGCTTTCATAAATTTTATTGGATACTGTCATGGTCATTCATTTACATATTGTCTATGGCTTCTTTGATGCTACAATGGCAGAATTGAATACCTGTGGCAGAGACTGTATGGCTACAAAACCTAAAATATTAACTATTTTGTCTTTTATGGAAAAGATTTTCCAATCTCTGGTAAAGAGCATTAGTTCTGGAATCAGACAAATCTAGATGATGTGACTCCTGCTTTCGTCTCTTCACACTTGACCTTTGACAAGTAACCATCTCTTTAACCCCATAATTTTTTTTTCTTTTTAAAAAATGGAATAGTATAATATCTACTTAATTGGGTGGTTGGAAAGATTCAATGAAATAGTCTATGTCAATCCAATGTCTGACATATATTTAGCTTAGCTCAATAAATGTTAACATTGAACTATGTAAGGTATAAAATTGAATAAGTAGGAGGGATAAAGTGGGCAAGAAGGTAGAAAACTGTTAGGTAGCTGGGCAAACTAGGAACACTAGGGAGTAGGTAGGCTCAAGGCATAATTGGTAGTAAGTGACTAATGATGGACTACTGGTATTCGAGGCAATAATTCTGATGTTCCTAGTAACAGTTGCATTGTAGGGATCAATGATTTTTGTACAACTTGTTAAGTTAGTAACCTAACTTTGCTTGCTACCTATGATTGCTACCAATCCATTTTTAATTTTATTTTTCATATTTCAATTTAGCCAATATTTTTTGAGCATCTATCATAGACTATATTAGGATCTAGTATTACAAAGATGAATAATATAATGCCTCAGCCATCAATAAACTCCTGGTCTGTTCAGGGAATCCAGAAATATATGCTGATGATACAATGTAATAATACCAGAAAAGGATGTACAGAGAGCTAGGGGACTAGGAGATGAAGAAAGACTACTGGAGAAGACATTTAAGCTGAATCTTAAATGATTAGATGAGAACTAGACAGGCAAAAGATGGATGTGCATCCCAGAAAATGAAGCATCACAAAATTGCCTAGGACCAGTTGCTTTTATATATGAGTTCTACCAAACACAAAGAAAAAAATATAATCTCTCTCTTATTTTCTGAAACAAGAAGTTTCAGAAAATGGAAAAAGTTTTATTTCTGGTAATGATGGGCTAGGTTATTTAAAGCTATCCTCTGAATGAGAAAAACTTAAAAAAAAAAAAAACTGAATGAAATATTTTAAAAATTTCCCAGTCACCTAGTTGATCCAAGCAACCAAAACACTTGAATTAGAACGGAGACAAACCCAGAATGGTAGTGCATTTAGACATATGGCAAAAGCAAATGAAAAACATCTTTGGAGGAAGATGGCATCCTAGGCATCAAATTACTCCTATAAATAATTCTCAAATACAGTGAATAGCACAAAAATAACTAGGTCTACAAGAAAACAAGACATTATGAGAAGAACCAGCAGAAGCAGCATACAATGAGAACTGATCCACAATGACTTAAGATACTGGAATTATCAGACATAAACAATGAAATGACAATGTTTGCTGTGTTCAAAGAAGTAAAACACAATTCAAAAGTCAAGCAAGGAATTGAAATATAAGAAGTGAAGTAGCATATTTATAAAAGAAATAAATAGAAATTCTGGAACTGAAAAAGAGCACAGTAAGAACTCAATGGGTGGACTTAACAGCAGGTTAGAGGGACCTAAGGAGAGAATAAGTGAACTGGAAGATAGATCAGAAGAAATTATCCAGCATGAAGAATAAATGAAAGCTAAGAGACACAGAGAATAGAGTGAAAAAATCCAACACGTGACTGGAGTCTCAGAAGGAGAGGAGAGAGAAATAGGGCTGGAGCAATACTTAAGATAATAGCTGAGAATTTGCCAAAACTGATGAAAGATTCCAAGCCACAGATTCAAGAAGCTCAATGAATACAAAGCAGAATAAGTAAAAAGAAATCTATGTATAGACAGATCATAGTGAAACTGCAGAAAAAGACAAAGACAAAATCTGATATGAAGCCACAGGGAAAAAAAGGCAATTTATTTTTTAAAGAATGAGAATTCGACTACTCTGGCCTCTTGAAAATTAACAGTGAGTAAACACTAAAATAGTGGAATGCTGTTGTCAACGTGCTGAAAAATATAAATAATAACTGCCAACAGACCCATGCTTAAGGAAATATAAAAAAGTGTGAATAAGAGAAGAAAACAATCCCAGGTAGAAGGTGAGAGACATAGGAAGGAATAAAGAGCAATAAGAATGGTAAACATTGAGCTTCATAAAGGAACATCCAAAGTATAAAGCAATAAGGCAAGAAAGTGTAAAGGAATTTAAAATAAATAAAAAATTAGAATATTTATGACATGGAAACCATCATGACACCACCTGGGGACTTTTCCTTCTCTGGTACCCCAGCTCATGCTCCCAGATCTCTCAAAATGCCACCTCTGCACAGGCAACAACAACAAAAAGACAAATTGGACTTCATGAAAATTTAAAAATTTTGTGCGTCAAAAGACACTATCAACAGAGTGGAAAGGCAGCCTACAGAATGAGAGACAATATTTGCAAATCATGTATCTGTTAATGTATTAATATCCGGAAAAATAAAGAACTCCTAAAACTCAACAATGAAAAACAAATAATCTGATTCAAAAATGGGCAAAGGACTTTGGATAGACATTTCTCCAAAGAAGATATACAAATGATCAATAAGCACATGAAAAGATGCTCAACATCACTAATAAAATGCAAATAAAAACTACAATGAGATACCACCCCACACTCAGTAGGACAGCTACTATCAAAAACAAAACAAACAGGGGCCGGCCTCATGGCCAAGTGGTTAAGTTCATGTACTCCACTCTGGCAGCCCAGGGTTCAGATCCTGGGTGTGGACATGGCACCACTTGTCAGGCCATGTTGAGGTGGCATCCCATATGCCACAACTAGAAGGACCGGCAACTAAGATGTACAACTATGTACCAGGGGGGATTGGGGGAGATAAAGCAAAAAAAAAAAAAAAAAAAAAAAGATTGGCCACAGTTGTTAGCTCAGGTGCCAATGTTTAAAAAAAAAAAAAAAAAAAAGGCAAGCATCTGATTTAAAAAAAAAAAAACCCAGAAAACAATGTCTTGATGAGGATGTGGAGATTGAAACCCTGGTGCACTGTTGGGAGGAAAGTAAAATGGTACAGTCACAGTGGAAAACAGTATGACAGTTCCTGAAAAAATTAAAAGTGGAATTACCATGTGATACAGCAATTCCACTTCTAGGTATATACCCAAAAGAATTGAAAGCACAATTTCAGGGGATATTTGTACACCCGTATTCATGGCAGCATTATTTACAATAGCTAAAATGTGGAAGCAACCCAAGTGTCCATCAATGGATGAATGGATATGCAAAATGTGATATATACGTACAATGGAATATTATTCAGACCTAAAAAAGAAGGAAATCCTGACATATGCTACAACATGGATGAACCTTGAAGACATTAAGCTAAGTGAAATAAGCCAGTCACAAAAAAGACAAATACTGTATGATTCTACTTATATGAGGTGCTTAGAGTAATAAAAACCATAAAACTAGAAAGTAGAATGGTGATTGCCAGTGGTGGGAGGTACAGAGGAGCGAGAAGTTGTTTTTAATAGGTATAGAGTTTTCATTTTACAAGGTGAAAAGAATTATGGAGATGAATGGTGCACATTATGAATGCATTTAATA